AGTTCGTGTGCAGGGCAGGTGGAAGTGAAGGTTGAGAGGCGACGGATACGAGAAAGGACGGGTTTTGCTGTCAGCAATGCGAGTGTGGGTTTAGGCGATGCAAATCAGGTCGTACTTTTATTATTATTATAAATGTTTGTACCATTTTTGAAGAATCTTAAGTACTAACGATCAAACGACTTTCATTTTACCAGGTGAGGCCCACTGAGCTCTATAGCTAGTTTTCAGAAGCGACGTGGCAATAACGAAGTGACTAACCACGGTACATTTATAGCAGCCAAATACTCTACACTACTGGGTGGACAGGGGCAGGGATTTTAAGAAATTTGCACTTTAGCTCTGTCCTCAGCATTATTTTAGAGTTTCGATTTAAAGCTTTCGTGACTGCAGGGATTCATCTTCTTGGTTCTTTCGGTGACTTTACCCAAAGAACCAAGAAGATATTTTAGAGTTGTCAACAGTAATCACCAATGGAGCCCGATATATATTTGTCTTCACTTCAGTATTGCTAAAGCAACGACTGGATGAGGTCGACCAACCATGTGCTTCACTCGTTGGACCTCGCACAGACACAGGACCTCCTGCAAGCCATAAGCTTTGCCAATGGAGAACCCTCCCTCTCTCCATTATCCCTTCCTCATAGTCCAGCTAAAAAAAAACGAAATTCCGTAAACACCACCGGCGTCTGGACAGCCCGTGACAAATCACAGGAGCACTCGTGCGACATTACAACTGTCCAAAGTTGAATGAATAATTGTCTCTGGATAGATGCCAGACGGTGTCTGTGCCAAGGCGGGCCGCCTCGCCGTTTGTATTTCTTACCACCCGATGAGAAACGCCGTGATACAAAGCCCATCCGTGACCAACTTCACCGCACACAGCCCACGTGCGCCGCCACGTTGCCTTCTTTATCTGTGGAACTAAGTGGCCGACCAAGGTGGTGTGGAGTTTGCTGTGCTGCTTAGGGTACATTACAAGGTATCATCCTCTTCGAGTGCTATTGTTTTAAAGTCTATTTTATTATCATCATCCAGCACTGCATCTTCTAATTCCACACTGTATTTATTTTAGGTTAAAGCTATTTTGAAATAATACACTGACGCTTCCATATATTTTAAGGGCAGAGACGAGTCTTTTAATTCAAAAACTAAAATTACTTAATTGGTGTAACTGTTGTTTCAATTCATAGACATACGATGTGTGATGAAAATTTAATTGGAAAACAGAATTGTGAAGGGTAAGAATTTTGTTTTTCTTTCATCAATTATATTTTGGCAGGGTAATTTACCTCCATACAGTATTGTTAATAGGGAAAACATTTCATTAAATCCATTGCTAAATATATTTAACCTATTATGCAAATGGCGAAAATTAATCAAATATATATTGCAATTCAATTGCGGTGCATGCTCTTAAATTTGAATGAGGTATACAATGTACCCCCCCCCCCTCAGGATTTATGAAAAGTTAATACTGTAATCCCATAATCGGGACTGTAAAGTACAGTACTACTGGCATTAAAACAAATATTATACCTACAAGAGTCAGAGCATATTTTATATATCATATACAAATTATTTTCTCAGTGTCACTTGCAATTATCACAAATCCACTGATTCCAACAACACAATTATGATTCTGTAACAGGAGTGGGCAGAGGAGAGAGTGGGACATCTCCCAGGTTACCATGCCCTTTCAGTAAAGGATACAGCCCTGCAACTGTTTGATTGTGCCACTCCTGCTGGAAGGGTCCCCGCCAGAGGGAGCGCTAGAGAGCCCCCTTTGCAGGGTATTTGGCCTAATCTTCCACGCTGGCCAGGCGTCTCGGAATAGGTTGCAAGTAGCCACCACACCTTACCCCACCCACCACATGCGGGGCTTGCCGATCGTTGGACTGATCTCCCATCTTGCAATAAAGCGAACTTAAATGTCACACAGGGATAACGTGCCCAGATAATGTGTTTGTTAATGTGCGCAGTGCACAACAACCGTGCGGCTGAAATGCATGCCCGAGTGGCAAACATTGGTTTGCAAGGGCCGTCTGCTGTCACTGTCGATGTATAACGTGGTAAAAGCACCTCCACTAGTCGCCATAAACAAACCACCTTTAACCCTGTCGGTATTTATCGGGTGGAAAATTAAAATTGCATGAACTTCAAATGTTAACAATCGTTGAACTGTGTCTGACGCCATGACATTGTCCTTTATCACCATTACTCGGTGGCATAAAAGGTAAAAAAAAATGTGCTGCCCAGCATTCATTTGCTCACACCAATTCTGGCAGAAGGTTCTCCCTCTTGGGAAGAGGTGGCACTACCCATACTTTGCCCCACCACATATGACCATGCCGATAGACTAAATATGGTTATGCACATTTATACTGCTGGGTGCAAAGAGGGGTGGTTGCATTTAATAAACCTTGCCTATTGTTTCAACTGCTGTGGCAGAAGATCGAAGAATGACACCGGGCAACCTCTGCATACTTGGTAGAATATGGAAATAAAATTATGAAATAGGGCTAGGCTTCAACTGAAAATGGATCGTGGAAACAAAATAAAACAGCCCCCCCCCCCCCTGCTGCGATTGAACCCAGTGGGGCTGTAAACAGGTTTATTGTTATTAGATGGCCATATATTTTACTTGGCCAAAACACAGAAACTAAACATTTCAGAAAATGGTGTGAAAATTTTAAAGCAGCTTCTGTAAATCTTTTGAGGCAAAGCTGTAGTTGTTGTAAACCCCTTACGGCTATAACGCCTTTTTACTGCCCTGTTTTCTTTACAGCTTAAAAGTTCATATAGGGGTTTGCTTTGCTGTGTGGAAAAGCACAATAACTGGTTGTGTAACAAGGAATATATTGAAATTTGGGGAAATGAAAGTGCAGTTCTATGCGCACCACAACGTAATGAAATAAACAATCTCCTATATTCTAGATTTGAAGCTTTCGTGACTGCAAGGATTCATACTCTTAGGTTTTTTCGGTAAAGTCACGTAGAAAAAAAATAAGTAAATAATAAAATGATAGAAATAATATATATTTTTTTTACTTTATTTCTATTATTATTTCTATCATTTTATTATTTTCTTTTTATTATTTATTTTTACCTACGTGACTTTACCGAAAAAACCTAAGAGTATAATCTCCTACATCACGTGACCTGCTTTTTGTAATTTGTGACGTTCGTTCTGCGAGTGCGTGTGTGCAGAGCGCTGTGGGTGCATCCAAGTCAGTATGTTCGTGTCAAGGGCGGCCGGGCGTCGTGCCGGCCACCTGCCCCCTCGTGTGCCGTGCCGGTTTTCAAAGGTGCCGGCCGACGGCACTTGCCTCCGACAGTCCGTCAAGGCTGGAGGGGGCATCATTGGTTTTGTATCAGTCTGGATGCGCGGTATTTTATGATCTGTTCGAGGTGACGGTTCCAAATCTTGAAGAATAAGTTCCGAAGCAATGTCAGCCACAGCGGTCTAATTGAGGCATGTATGGCTCATTTGCATATGAGGCATTTGCATATGATTCATGGTGCGTCTGTGCCAACCAACGTCAAAAAGAACAAAAAAATGTGAGCTACAGCATAGGTTTTGTGGAACAGCACCTGAAAAGAATTATTTCATCTTATCTTAAAGTAATTAATATAACGCCCTAACCAAGACGCTTTACGAGGAATTAACAACGGTGCAACGTGCATGAAGGTAATGGTGGAGATGAGGTGAACGAAGTAGATGAGAGGAAGCAATGGGCAAATCTGTGATGCGTGAATTTGGTGAAAGCGAAATTGATGGCAGTAAACGATGATGAATGGTCCTCTACAGATGGATTGAATGAATGGGCAATGAGTGAAAGCCATGTAATGAGAATACGAAGAGGGGAAAATGAACGGTGGTGATTGTGAGGGGGAGATTAAGGGGTCGTGGGGTGGGCTACGTCACAACAAGTGTGAGTTTTGAGTGGGGAGTGGAAACGAGTGCGCGAATGTGACTTGTTTCATGTGGAGGGGTGAGTTTATTCCAGTGAAGAGGGGCAAGAAGAGAAAATAGCGACAAGAGAGGGCCTCTTAAATGAAGAGCTCCACAATATACCCGCACCTCCAATTAGCACGGTGGGCTACGTACGGTGCGAAAGAAGTTCAACGTACATACATTGGGGATGGACTACTCATCTGGAAGATCCTGCATACTACTGATACATCACAAAGCACTCGCGACTACAGAAATTGTTTATAATTATCTTAAATAGCTGCTCTCTCATAGCACAATGTTATTTGTCGCAATTAGATTCTCATAATTTGTTTTATATAGAGTATATGCGTTGACAGACAATTTTGTGAGTAAAACTGCCACCGAATGAAAGTGAGTCAATAAACAGGACATCAATATGCATTGGCCTCATGCTTTAAACATGCTCTGTAGTAAAAGGATTGATTGATTGTCGTACAGCTCTGTCTTAACGTCACACAGAAGCCAATCAACAGTGCATAACTGCAAAGTTAAGGGCAGAGAGAAAATCACCTCTTACTTCTGTAACAGTTTAGCTTAAATTATCCATGCCCTGCACAAAATGAAGCTTTCCAACTGTGTTAAATGTTATTACTTAACTTTTATGTATGCAATATTTAAATTACAACACACAAATGTTGAAAAAGATTGACTGTCAGTAGCAATCTGTCTTGGAAGTATTGGAAAAGTATAAATTACCACTTATTTAGCATGTTTTAAACCAAGGTTGAATATTTTAAATGCGAACACATTTGAACCATTTCAGATGGAAGACCCATGGGTGCTGTAGCTTTTGCATATGTAGCCGAGATTATTAATCTTTCAATACCGACACGCCTGACAGAGAGTATTTGAGCATCTTCAAATAATCAATGTATTAACTTATATATATATATAAAACAGCGCATTTCACAAAATGTACACAAAAAACAAAATGATAATTGAACTCCGATGAGAATTATCGGCTTAGGCAACATGAAATGAAAACTCAACGCCAGGTTAGAAAGGAGCGGAGCGGAGGCAGCAGCAGCAGCAGGGGCAAAGGTCTTGCAAATCACTTGGACCCTGATCGTTTGAGGCACTGTAGGTCTGTAAACTGACCTTCAAGGTGATCTGCCATGGGTGGACAGCCAGCGCGACAGGTTATTCAGCTCCCTATATATCTGTAAAATATGTAAACGATGTGCAAATATACTTCTCGTCTGTCAGCGTAACTCTTTTACCAGTTTCCTGAAAATTGCCGCACACAGTCATAGTTTAATGGAAAGACAGCTTTCATCCAAATTTAGATGCTGCCAGACGCATTATCTAACAAAAGCCGGGGCTTAGCAGCACAACTGCAACCGGCGAAGTCCAATGCACTGCCTTATCTCAGGAATAGAGCTTTTCTGTAATCTCTCACACCCGACTGTAAACCCATCTCGATTCACACACGGTGTGGGCACACACGCACACGCAGTGCTGATGAGCAAACGGAGGCCGGAGGCATTTTGCAAAGAACTCGAGACACAGAGCCTGGGAGAGGAAAGACGAGGCCTTAGAAAGACTCATCACGCACATCCGATTAGCACGGTACGGTCCGTGCGGCACGAAAGAAGTTCAACATACATGCATAAAGCACGGTGAATGCAGATGAGTTTTTTTGCACAGTCTTTAAGGCATTGCTCCTTGCGTGAGATATCACGCTTTAGAAAACCACTCCAGCTGACACCACGGGAGTAAATTTGAATGTTGCCAAAGTGCCCTGACCCTTTGAAACTGCTATATTACTTGATGTTCTTAACTCCTATCTGTGCTGGATATACGCATTTAGATGTTCCTAGGAAAATGATTGCACACTGCTGTTTGCATAATCGTTTTATTAATTTGCCTCGGTTATACTGAATCATAGGATTGAGATGAAAACAATCTTTGACAAAAATAAACACGTTCAACGCAGATCATTTTACATTCCATTGGACATGCATAATAGACTAAGCAATAATATCTGCGTTAACTTAAAAGAAAAACGTATATAGTGAACTGTTTAAACAATTTTTTTTACGTGTTATTTTGAGGTCCACATATGGATGCATTTCTTTACGGTGTATTTTATTTTTAAAAATACCCAAATCTATCCGGGTGAAATGTCATGTCGTTCACACGTCAATTATATCTCAGATTTTTTAAAATAAAAAAATCCATTAATTGTGATGACCTCCAATGAAATTTTTAAGACTGTAGTCATTAAAATAATCAATAATAGTTTTTTTGGTGTCGTTAAACCCGGAACCACCCGACACAGCCAATTAGTAAGGGTTGTCACGTAAACAGAACATGCAATTCATTACTAGTTCAGCACACCGGTGTGTTGGAGAGTAAACCCACAACATTTACAATTCGAAAGCCTACGTTTTAAACAGTCATTAAAATTCTCAAACACAGCCCCGGTGCCTCATTTCACAGGTTTCAGGGGAAAGAATGTGTGGATTTTTTTTAAATGCTCACTATAGGGTACAAAGATGTATACGAGACATGCACAATCAATAGGCATGAGCATTGACCTACATTAATGCAGCCGGTTCATCATCAGCACACACAACTATATTGTCATCTTCAATTACAGATACATATTGCATATTCACTTCCTTGAAAATTAAAGTAAATGCAGATATTAAGAACTGATGCCAGCATCATTAACACAGCCAGCATTGGCTCTGCCTTGGCCTGTTTATTTTAATTGTTTTATCTATTTCCTGACATACATAGTTTTTCATTTACTCATGATATTGCATTCCTATTGCTATTCATTTGCTTGTTAACTTAATGAACCATTTATTCAAGTAATCTATTGTAAAATACAAATGTGTGTTTAATGTGGCAGCCTTGTGGTGTAAACAAGTCTCATGTCATAGCATCAAATGCTAATGTGGGACATAAAGCCAGGCTGCAAGGGCCTCATTTGCGCATTCAGCAATGCAGGTTTTGTTTTCTTTGGCAAATTGGCTCACGAGGCAGCATTCCGGGGAGCTCTGTGTAAGGCAGGGCAATCGTGGGCCTGGGTGTCGCGACAACATCGCCCCCATTTAGTTCTGCCAAGGCGGTTGTCAGAATCTCCTGGACGGTACGACCTCCTGACCCCGCAGGTGCAACACTGCCACAGAGGTAATGAGAACACTGGCCTGCGAGGATGCCGTGCTTCCTGGGTTCACGGCCCACATTTCCGTCGCTTTGCAGTTCAGATTGAAGGTCTTTCTGGCGGTGCAGATGAGAAAATTTGCTCTGAGGATTTAATCTTAAAGTGGCCTCTCTGCTGCAGTGCATCATCAAGTTCGCGGTTGGCTGTACAGCAACAGCAGTATTGTCGATGTGATGGCCGAGGCTGCGTTTTGCCGCTTGCTCTGGGCGCAACGAAAGGTTGCGTGGAACTTCCTCGGCCAGCACGGCCTGGAGACCAGACCCGAAGCACAGCGGTGGCATTGACTTGATCCAGGAGGACACTGAGTCTCCAAAGGTCTTCGACAGTTGGCTGTGAAGGACGCCACTGCTCTGCACACTTCGCTTTCGTACTTGTAATTTTCTGGTTATGCTTTTGATGAGATCTCTGCCTTGTTTCAGCTCATATGCTGCATACAATCACACAACACAAACACGCACAGCAAAAAAAAGAGACAATGATTCCTTAATCAACCAGCACTGACTGTCAAGGCAATTCTCTTCGTCAGAATGTATTAGGACCAGCACGGCACATGAGATTGTAATATGGCCAGCACCATACATCACCCACCAACTTTGTTTCCACTACCTGTACCATATAGTTAATTTTGGCTGAAATCCAACTTCCCATTTCATTCATAATTGACTGATGGATAATTTTATATCCAGTGTTCACTGTGTTTATCCTCGCTTTACCATCTTCATGCCTTGTCTGGGCAGTGTTCACTGTGTTTATCCTCGCTTTAACATCTGCATGCTTTGTTTGGGCAGTATTCACTGCTTTTATCCTCGCTTTAACATCTTAATACCTGGTCTAGGCAGTGTTCACTGGATTTATCCTCGCTTTAACATCTTCATGCCTTGTCTGAGCAGTGTTCACTGGTTTTAAGGGCCATGTGAGACACCTGAAGAACAACGCCTTTGTAACACCGAATCTCCAGTTACAAAGCAAGTTAAACCACAATTACAACTCAACAATTCCTCAATAACATTGCATTATTTTGATTTGAAAGCACGAACACCTTTGCAGGCTATAGTTCTGGCAAGCAAGCACAATCATTTCATAGTGCTCTCAATTGATGAGCAGAAAAAAATTAGAAATTTTTCCGTGAAAGTACTGTATATTGAAACAATCTAAATTCAAGAATGGTGTTTGAAATGATAATCAAATCGGTAATTGACGAGAAAACCCACCATAACAGGAACATTATGTTTGGAATGATTAAAATTGACATGGAATTTAATTTACCATGCTGGACATGACTGCATCGATCAATGCGACATATGATTATCATAGCGGGACCCCGGGGTACAAAATGATACAAACTGGCCGAAGCAATACAATATTTAATTTCTGGGACACTATTTTTTTCCAGGGGTGTACTTAACTCCGCGACTGGGGTACCAATCAGTCCTGCAATCAGTGCTACTCCGCGATGTCGAAACGCAGCGAGGACGATTGCTCTGAAACCCTGAACGCTCGCGGTACGCACCGTAGCGGTGCATCGTGTACAGCTCGTCGAGATGAGTCGATCGCCGCATCGTCGACCATCAACAGACTAACAGTGACTGCATCACGGACATTATGCGAGAGCCGGGGTCACTATGATACCCCGGGGTACCGCCATAAGGTTCATATCACCCTTGTCTTGTAAGAGCACTTTAGTTTGGCTCATAAACTAGGCTAACTCGCCAAATTCGTGATAAAATAAATCTTTTTTTTTAACATGTGCCGAACTTTTATTATTATTGTTGTGTGCTAATTGATTCACTTTTGACTATGATGGAGTGATTATAATTCGCAGTCAACAGATGCAAAGATATACTTTGTCCATTACGACATTTTATCTGTTTGGAAATCTTTTAGCCAATAAATAGCAAAGAACTGTCTACATTCTTGATATGAAATCCATTGCCGGGAGGAGCATCATCACATGAAATGAAGCGTCTGCTGAATTGTGAGGTTGAAATCAACATGTGAGCACTGCTTGTAAGGCGAGGTCACTGCGTGCTCAAGTCGTGGCTGAATTGGCGGATTACTCACCATTACTAAATTATCTCTTTGTAAATGCTAATCGACTACATTTCGCTAAGTTGCAATGAGTGCACAAAGACTCAACTGTCCAGAAAGCAATCGTTGACATTAGCCTGATATTTATGTTAATTCATCTGAAAATTTGAAGCAATGCCACCTGCAAGTACACAAGCGATTGTGCCGACGAGGGGCGAGGTCACCGGGGTCGCTGCCTGCCACTCAGTGATCTACAGTCAGAACTAACGACTCCCTGCAGAGGGCTTCGGCGCTGATTATCTAACGTGCAGGACCGCCCCGGTGGCCTGCCTGGCCCGGTGACGCCAGGCAATAGCCCTGCCATTTCACTCAGCAGACAGATGGTGATGGCACTTTTCCACGAACAGAAATTGTACTGAGAGATGTTATGACTCGGCTCAGCTTGAACAAAACAACATGACCTTCTGCCGTGGGGTAAAAAAAAACACACACACAATCGTACATTTTAATATGCAGTAAAACTGAGCGAAAATAAGTAGCTTTAAAAATAAGCCATAACACTTGAAATGAGGTTGTTTCCTGCTGATAAAATTAAATTAAGATTTTTGGCCCGCACCCTTCAATGCTGTTCTGGGTATGTCTGAGTGTGTGTGTGCATGCATGTCTGAAGGAGTGGCGCAGTGATTTGCGTGATGCCCTGTGAATCCCATGACCTTTGCTTGATTTCTGGCCATTCATACCATCATTGACAACTGGTTCTTAAGCCTGACCTGGGCCTACCCTAGGTTGTTTCAGCTACAAAAATAGTACCTGATGCGGAATGTCAACATCGGCACTAGGGAAATCAAAAGTGTCAAAGTATGGTTATGCCACTGCATCGTATGCAGTGTCATCCTTAATAGGTGCTCGCTTAAAAAGCACTTGACCTCATTAAGGAACGCTTGCCATTGTAAGGAAGTAGACAGTATTTAAATGACCTAATGATGTCCAAGAGAATCGTGTGCTGACTGCAAAAACAAGGGCACAGTATTTATGCAATATACCGACACTTTCTCAGAATAGTGGCAACATTTGTTTGGCAATGGCAGTGCAATTATACAGCCGTTTAAATGTGTTGGGATCCTTTCAAGTTGTCCACCATTGGGAAAATTACACAAACAATTGCCCCTGTCAGTGTCTCGCATTGGACTACGCTGCCCCAACCGAGTGGTGCCGGTCGAACCAGCAGTACGAAAATTCAACCGTGTTCTCTGCACCCCAATAGGCTCCACATTGCTCATCCAGCTGAAGGTGCGTGTGAGATGAAGTGAAATGTGATTTACGGTTTTGACTACACGAATGCTAATGAGCACCGATGAACATGCACGCTTGACATTCACACGTGTCCGCACACACACACACACACTATAAAAAATGTAATCCCTTTTCAGGATGTGCCACTGAAAGTTTTAGGTCATTAGTTTTCAAGCACATGGTAGATTGTGGGCTGTTGACGACAAATAATGAGAATTATTATATTGCATGGCATCTTGGCGTAGTGGTTATGCTTGTATCTCACAGCAATAATTCCTGACTCGGGAGCCTCTCTGTGTGGAGTTTGCAGGCTCTGCTTCTGTTTCCTCCCATAGCTAAATACATACGGTGAAACCCGGCATTGGCCAAACATTTCAAAGCTGAAAAATGAACTGCAAATTACTCATTTGGGAGCAACATTGCCCTCGACAGCGAAAAACTTTGCAGGACCCTCCTGAAAATGAATCCTGCGACTCAGCAAGGCTTTACTGGGTAAACAAGCGTAACAATAATCATTGCGACTGAACACAATAAAACAAAATAGTAATTGACTGAGAGGTGTGAGAGGTATGGAAGCTAAAACAGTTCAGAAAACAAGACAAAAGTATTTCATGTTTTTGCTAGCTCCGCAACTTCATAACAACCCTCCTGCTGATCTTTGAAATAAAACATGTTCAGAATTTTTATTTCATAAACTTGATAGCGGTACCTTTGAGCCAAGTAACAGTCTCGTCTGTGAAGAGACGGCTCTCAATCCACTCAGCATGGTCGTGGATGTAGTCAAATGCAGTCAGGCCTTGGCTGTCTCGCATCTTCACGTCAGCTCCTGAGCACACACAACCACGATCAACACTACACTATGGACTTATACAATAACACGTTCATTAAGGTAAAGAACACACTTGTGATTTTTTACATAAGATGTCTGTAAGTTTCTGCCAACTGGAATATTTGAGGAAATTGATATTATGCTTCCTGAAGTAATATTATTTCAAGAAATATATCCTCAAAGAGACTAGTGACTCCAAATATTGAGATCTTTCAATCCTATCGGTGACCTATCAACATTAAACATTGGTGAAACCAGTATTGTAATATTTTCACATGTTCTTCCTTAATACCTTCCTCATACAAAATAAGATACCACAGCAGATGATATGTGTAAAAAAATCAATAACGGAACGCCATGCATGGTGTTACATTTACCATAACGTTTCCATTTGGCTCAAATTACGAAGTCAAAGCGAAATTTACGTTTACTTAATAAAATGACATGGTGTAAAATAATTGTTAATGCCGATAAACGCAAGTCCATATTTTTAATTCTCACAAATAAGTGTCAATAAGGAAGAGATGAATTTGGCATCGCCAACAATTTGAGGGCTTAATTAATTATCAACCTATAGCGCACACGAGTGTACGTGACCAAGGTCTCACTGCTCCACTGCCGACTAAAACTAAATTCAATTTGAATGTGTGTCAGCTCGTTGAGAAGTAAAAAAAAAAATCCGCGCTGATATATGCTCCAAATTAAGTGTTGGAATTCAGTCACATTACCTTGTTATGTGACAAGGTGCCTAAAGTCCTGCATACAATATTTTATCCCAATCACGTTTTATACAGTGGCACTGCGAAAACCCGAGACTTAGCAAAGGGAGCCTCGGAAGGTTAGAACTGAATCGACGCCGCCTTTATTCACAGTGTCATTTAGAGTGCCATCCATCAGCTGGGGTGAGCGACACTCTGTAGGCGCACTGAGCTCGTTGCAATTTCCGTTCCCATTCCGGCAGAGTCACCGAAGATTCACCGGATGCAATCCCATGCCTTGCTCGCAATGCGCCAATTTTCATCTCTTTGTTCACGACAACGAAAGTGTGAGGGTGCGGAGGAAAGATTTACGATGTTCTGACACCTCACATTCTCGATACACTGCTCCGAAATGTGTGTGTATACGTATCTATATATCTTCATGAAAGTATTATTATGTCTCTCTGCTTCTGTCTATTTCATTGACAGCAGCAGCAAAGCATTGTGTAGTTGGACATTGTTGTTTCTTCTGCACACAGCAGAAGGAGAGAATATGGGGTAGGTCAGCTGGGTGGCTCAGAGAGGGTACGAGTCATGTTTGAGAATTAAGCCAGGACATCTCACATAATGTATTCACAGGCCCTTAGGGTGTCCATGCGAAAAACAAACCTGTCGCCTCTCTGGCGCTGTCACGTGCAGCAAGCTTCGCGTCAGCACGGTCACTTATGGTGACACTCAATTATTTTGAAATGAGGTCCTCAAAATTAAAACTATTTTCATTAGTTTACACACTGCACTGAACTCTGAGAGTACAATAGGGTGAAAGACTTGAGCCATTCATGGTGTATAACCAGAGCTGTTCTTGGCCAAATAAAAGTGATCTGCTCTATGTTTAAGTTTTCAGAAATGAACACAACAGTGCTTTGTCTCTGGGGTGCACTTAATACATTTTCAGAGCACAGAGATTAAAATGACACAGTGAAAAAAAGTTTTGTGTATATATAGAGATAAATATGGAAGACACAGAGTTGACTTGGGGGTCAGATTATAATGGTATCATCATATTGATGCTTATACTGCACTATGAACCCTACGGATAACCCGAATTTGATTCCTGACCAATGGATAACATCAGTGGTGAGCGATATCTGAAGCCCCATTCACCAACCACGCATGTGACCAGCTTGGTGAACTATGGTCAAACAACCCCCAAGAGTGACGAGGCAAATGAGGAGGCCTCCGTCCAGCAGCACTCTGTTGTCAGTGGCCAGGCTGAAACTAACATTCTGGTGAGATGGAACTATTTGTGTGTGTGCCTTGAGGACTTAACACCCCCAAGCCTGCAGCGAGTTGGCTCCATACACCGACACGCTGCATCAAGTTCCCAAAGCCACCCAGACTCATCTGTCACAACGCATCGCTATATATTTTTGCTGTGCTGTACAGCATTTATATAGCCCGCATGTGTTTTTTTTACAGTCGATACAGCAATATACATATTCTAATTCACAGCCCTTTGTCAATCCACTGCTGGCTGAAGGCCATCTTCACGCCGTGAAAGTGTGTGGAGGTCTCCCAATCACCAAAGGGAATTGAACTCGGGTGGGCGAGTTCATAGCACAGTGGACTAACCACTTGCACCACCACTCCAATCAATATATTCTGCTTCACAGTATTGCCTCGTTTTTCACAAACTTGATATCCGCAAATTTGGCTATCCACGAATGGCATCTGGAACTCTACACGACTGCATCGAGAAAGAGAGAGAGAAAGTGATGACATAAAGTGATGATGCTACTGCGCAGCATCATCATAATCTAAGGTAAGTTCATTTCTAAACTATTATTTAATACTTTCATATTAACTTTATGTTTATTATTGCCAATTTAATAGTTTTTGCGTTATGATAATTTCATGTATTTAATAGCGGATGCATTTATTTACGGGAATTCATTAAAAAGACAAGTTTTCGTAGGCCAATATCATTATCCGTGAAATGTTCTATTCACGAGTATCTCCAGAACGTATCCCTCGCGAATAACGAGGGAATACTGCATAAATTCTGTATTCACAAAATAAACCTCCCTGAGTATAAAGCGTTTTTTTATTTTCTTCAGAACAGTTCAACTTTGGGTTCTTGTTTCCAATTTCTTGAGTAATTTCGAGTGTGAGCGAAAACTAGAATGTCTGTAGAAATGCAACATGGTTACGATGAGTCAGAATTCAGCGGTCATAGCATCCATATGTTGTTGCTTTTGTCACAAAAAAGTTACCGGCAATGAAGAACATAAATAATGGTTTCTCCCACGATTTTCGTTTGAGATCCTTTTTACAACAATGGTCAGTGCGCTCGCTACGGAGACAGTTTATAGCGCGGCGCGCTATATTGAGATGCCGAGGCATTTAAGCGCCCGATAAATGCAAGTCTTTAACTCCTCATAGGCCGCCACGGAGATGGAGCGATGATGGCAGCCGCAAGGAGGGAACACAACCGAGTAAATTGCCGCCGAGATGGATTGTGGCATTAAGAGACTATGAGGGATGGTAATGATTTCATCCAACAGTGCATAGATTATGGCTGGTGATAATGATGACATATTTACACGTATTTATATTTTCATACATAACTGCATGTATAATTAGTGTACGTAGATACAGCGTGGTAAAATATGGTTTAAAATTCCCATGACCAAAATGGAATGGGGAAGCCCTCATACAGCAGTGGATTGATGAAAAAAAAACATAACTTCTACATGTACGTGCACGTTAGAATTACGGTCTTTGAATGGACTGGTTCTGTGTCACTGCCTACTCGGAGAAAAAAATAAAAGCCACCCTCTGTGATCATGCGACGCAGTGGCCACTGCTACCGGGGCTCTGAGAAGCGGGCACAGAGCGGCCTCGCATCAACGCGCAAACGAGACGCGGCGCACGCGGCACAAAGGCAGCGGGTCCCCGCTGTCATAAATAACAGCGAGCGCCTCCAACATCGGCCGCTCTAACTTTCCGCGCACGTCACGTGATTTAACGTTATCGGCAATCCTGACCGTGCACAATAATCACAGCTTTGCCTGCGCCGCGGCACGGATGGGAAATCGAATTTATGGCGGGGCGCCGTGCGCACGTGCGCTCGCCTGCGCGCACCAGCTACGACGAAGCTACGACGAAGCTGAGCTCCAAGCGATGTGTGGGGGGCGCGACGTGGCAGGACAAAGTAACAGGAGCCGGTGGCACGGGTGGAGCGCAGTTCACGCGCGACAAAGGACGGCCAAATCTTTTATTAGGCTGGGCGTGTTCAAAACGTGCGTCCACTTTCCTTCTAAAGTCTTCCATGCATTCAAGTCAAGCCGCTGAAGTCAACACTCTCCATGCTCAAGCGAGCAATGGCAACGGACACTATTCTCTTTTAAAGGCCGTGATCCAGGGGGTTTGGAAATGTCACATTAACCCGCCACGTGTCAATCTCTCCAGAGGATGGCCACTGCCGAACAAGCTCTGTCCTTGTAAATGTTTCCGGCAGTGACATGCTGAAGTCTTAACACTGGGCTCATGAAATATCATGAGCGTGGACATTTACAGTCAGTTTTCACCAGTTATTTTCCCATACAACCGTGCTTTGTAGGATGAGGGTGACATGGGGAGGTGGCACGTATGTATATGTGGGAGAGGAATTAAACCGTAACCCCTGCACAACATGAAACAACCTAAATAATACTGTGCATTGCAGAATATCTGCAGGGTGACAATTCCTTAAAAATTTAAAGCCAATGTGGGGAATTTCAAACCTCAGTGCACATTCTGTGCTCTTAAAAAAATTGCATCCGAAAGCTAACGGTCCTTTGTGTGAATGTGTGGCACATTTGATAGCCTGGCCCACACTCCCTGCGTTTTCTCACAAAAGTATATCTCGACTTCACAATGAAGAACTGCGTGTTATTATTTAAACATCATTGGGTTGTGCTCTGCATCATCGACTCTCGGCTCAGGTTCAGCGGTTTCTCCTCCCTGCTTATTCTTGCGCACGCTCTGGCCACATTCTCCTGCCCCGGGACAGCGCCGGTAATTTATTATCGTGCACTGATTTAGGGCCTCATTTAAAAGCAAACAATTGGGAGGTCTCTCAAAAGCAGCGAGCTTTGAATGCAAACACAAGAGTGTACAATTCAGCAGAGTATTAAAAGCCAGGTGGCAGACATTTAAATGTGCGAGGACATCAATACACCCCGGACAATGGCTTTTTGTCAGAGGCACTTCGTCTCGATCACTCAAACGAAACACTACTACTTTGCTTCATTTGTAATAGACACACTCTGCAGGAATCTAAAAAGCATATTCTTATCAGCCCTTTATGACATCACCATCTTTACGTGGCAATGTTCGCTGATATTTTGTACAATGCTTAAACTCTGGTGCTGTACTATTTTCTGCGTGAATCGAACAACAGCTCGTTGCATTCTGTTGCACTGTTGTCTTGAAGCATTCGTAAACATTCTTGAGAGATGGGGGACTACTTTGGTAGATAACAGGTTAGGGCAAAGAAAATAAGGCAGTGGAGGATAACAACAAATGGGGAGAGGTTTTTTTTTCTTCTGGAAATTCTAACCTTTGCATTTGTCTGTGTCACTTGCACAGTGATGATGAGAAAAGCTCTGTGGCACTGCACCTATCAGAGGAAAAGATTGGTCAAATTGCTCTGGAGATAGTGTCCAAAAATGTCGCCACATTTCAGGTATTCAAACGCGGCTTCTCATTCCCTTTCTCATTGGCAGTGAAGGAAAAAAATCAATGAAATAACAACCATCATATTTGTATACTGTACTTTAATACTGTACCTACTTTATTCCAACATCGGTGCAGTTATTTTTATAGGCTCACTTGCAAGAATATGACTTCAATAAAGCAAACGAAAAAATACTCCTCTTCCGTTTTATATCTTTTTCCACATTCCCTTTGGATGAAAACAGTGGAGTGTATCACCTATCTCACACATATTTCTCGGCCCCCTCCATAAACATTTTACAAACCCCTACTACATCTTGGACAGGCCCATATGCACTTTTGCTGACAGATGTGTAAAAGATGTTACCAGGCAGAGATCAGGCGCATGTTTGATAGGTTTATTGGCTTCGGTGCGTTCGACTTTCACGCCTATGATTTGTTTGCCTACTTTCAAACCTGCGTGTTGAATCTGTATTTCGAGCCCTATCGTGGCGATTAATATGATGCGATTCTTTCCCTCATCTTTTACCACCCTCTGTTGTTACGTGTACTGTACAGTCTTTTGTGACGCACCGTTGAAACACTGTGCGATCTTTTAAAAAATAAATTAAATTGGCATGTAAATATATTTAACGTAACAATAATATTACATAGTGGAGGTTCTTTTTTTTACGTGCATAAAGCAGTCCATCATTTACACTGCATTGTGACAGACCCCGAGCCGTGCATACTGGCCCGTTGTAGCAAAAATAGTGGACAATTTAGCGAAGAAAAAAAGATGTAGCTGTAATATACCGGCACGAAATAGCTTACTTTTAAGAACAATGTCACAGGATGTTTTATATCCACAAGTTAACCCGACGGGATGTTCCCTAGATAGGACAGCTAATTTATTTAAAACTGTTCCCACAACACGTTCTTATTAGTGGCTGGGGATGTGAACTGGGGTGGACTGCCAGAACAGACATGGCCTTGAGGTTTTGCTCTGTGACCATCAAAGAGCAAAACCTCAAGGCCATCTGGCCACTAACATTTGCAAGTGACGAGGCATCCTTAGTATTTGTTTTGTTTTGAATTCATGAATCACATGTGCAGCTCTGTGGTATGGTGGTTAGCAAACTGTTACTTGGGTACTGGCTTAGCCAATTCGAATTGAACTTCGGTCAACTTTTAATGTGTGGAAGTAACATATATATAAATAATCGTGCTTTTCGATTTAAAGCTTTCGTGACTGCAGGGATTCATCTTCTTGGTTCTTTCGGTAAAGTCATCACGTAGAAGGGAAATAATAAAATAATAAAATAAAACATAATAAAATAATTCTCACGACGTTTCGGCCACAACGCAAGCAGCCACAACGCTAGAGGACGGCTGCTTGCGTTGTGGCCGAAACGTCGTGATAATTATTTTCTTATGTTTTCTTTTTATTATTTTATTATTTCCCTTCTATGTGACTTTACCGAAAGAACCAAGAAGATGAAAGTAATAGGACTTTTCAAATCGCAGCCTTTGCGCTTTGCCAATCGCATTGTTTCAAATTGCGATTTTAAATCTTTCAGCCCTGCAACTTCACACCCGGTGGCCCATGCCACCGCCGTGCGCTTTGCTTGCACGAGTCACAACGGAGGCGGCCGTGAGCTCGGCTCACCGTGGCTCAGCAGGAGGGCGGCGGCTGCCATGCTGCCGGTGCGCGTGGCCTGGAACAGGGGGCTCTGGCCGCTCGCGTCCACGCCATCCACGGTGGCCCCATGCTCCATCAGCAGCTCCACCAGCTCCGGGCACTCCGGTGCCGCCAGGTGCAGTGGACTGCCGGTTCGAAGAGACACACAACACACACACGAACAAGTATAACCTGTAAAAACAAAGTTTTTCACTATAAATCCTTTATATGCGTGGCGGCTAGAGTCCTCTCGTCCTCTGGCTTGAGATGGCTGCCACCTATGGTTCAGATGATTGCATGGCAGCATTAAGCAATTGGTAATTAAATATAATATTTTTGTCCTAAAAAGTGTAACATTTTGGAAAAAAATTTTCACGAACATTAATTGTCACGCACAACGAGTCTGTGTGGAAAATGTCAGCTCGATTGGATCACGGGAAGTGGGTTAAAAAACGACCGAAAGATTTGCACGGTCCTAAGCAAGCAAGCAAGCGAACTTAATATAAAGGATTTTAAAAAAAGATCCCACCTCTAGCCTGAACAAGACTGTTGGGGCGCAGTCGTTGTTAGTCGACACATGAGGAGGGTGACACACAAAAAGAACCCCTGTATAGCCTTTAACAGACTGTTGGGGCAAGTGCTGTTAGCGAGCACCTATGAAGGCCAGGAACAGGTACACGAGGGGGTGGGTGGCCAGCACCACGCCCGACCGCCTTTGTTTCCCTAGTGGCGATGCTTACACACCGCACAAGGTACTCATTTGAGGCTGAGTCGACCTAGGGGAGGCCCGGGACCGGTTCAGATAATCGTCACTGGTGTTGGTCGTGAGCGGGAATCGAACTTGTGTCGCCGGGTTCATAGCGCAGCGCGCTAACCGCTGCACTATCGCTCCCCACTAGACACACAAGACACTGACACACACGCGTGCAGACCGCGGTACGTACGCATAATATAATGCATGCGCACACACAGTCACACTACCAGCGAAATCAATGAAATGTTATTTGAAATTGATTTAGAAATGATTTTGGAGCTGCTGTGAGTATAGTGGAGAGATCAGCAAAACAAGCTTCACACACTCTAGGTGCTGAATTAAAATCCAGGTTGAGCTGATTAAATCGTCTGTAAAATTGCTCTCTGCCTGATCATATGTAAATTCAGTTTTCCTCTTGTAATTTGATTGGTGGATTGCTTATGGATGGGGTAAAGTGTGAGCACCATCACCTATATCAGCTGCCACATTTGCGCTCAATGAGTACAAAATACTCTCATAGAATGCGAATCAGAGTAATTGTATCACTGACACAATGATTTACAGCCCTTTGTCGAGCCACTGCTGGATGAAGGCCTCCGTGCACCATTAGTCCGGGGGTTTGCGTGAATATTCTTTACCCAGAGACACGGTCAGATTTCACTCACTACTGATGTCAAGCACTGGCCAGGCATCAACCTTGGATCGCTGGGTTCGTAAAGAAGTGCGCAAACCACTGCCGCCACCACTCCACCCCAAATGTCTAGCCAGACCATTCCGAATTAAATACTGTGCCTGGGTTTGACAGTTATTTCAATCCCATATTTAAAAAAAATACGTGACATTTTTGAATGCGCACCATGTCATTGCAGTGTTTATGATGGAATAAAGACTGTATGGGGTATGAGTCACATGATGGTGGAGGGCCAGCTGATCCTGGCAGGTCACCCTGTCGTGGTGACGTGCTCACGGAACATTTGCAAAGACAAGAGAGCTCCACCCAGCTTAACACCTCTGCCAACTTGTGAATCACACCCAATGTATTTTTTTAAAATAAGGGCATCATAGGCAATGCAAAACTTTACAGAGGAGGCAAGCTCCTCTCACGAATGCCTTCAGCCAATTAAGCAATGGGCGTCTCCTTTAGAAAAAACTGTGCTGGAGTCTGTGCGAGGTGAAACTAAACTTTATTTTAAGCGCACAATGCACTTGTTTTGTAAATCACAAAGCCGTATCAACGCCTGTACTCTATAATCTCGTAATGGCAAAAGTGATGCAATCTCAGAATATCCGAGTTCAATATACTCACAATGCCTGCTGAAGATTGTGCTCACAATAATACCTTCTTAGGATTCAGGTGATGCACCGTGAACGCTATTGGAGGCAAATCAGAAAAATCTAACGCGCAAAAAAAAACGGGCTGACAAAAGCACGGGGGCGAAAACAACAAGTCTCTCAGACAATGCAAAAACACCTCGTAACTGTCAGCCTGTTGAAGTCTCCGGGCTTTCTATGCAGCCAAGTCTCGAAATACAACTCGAACATCATTAAAATATCTCATGCTTTTTTTTTTGAAGGGTCAATTTCAGCCGAGCAGATATTTCACATAATTCGCTGCACTGTGAGAGCGCCAATCACAGGGTTGATGCAATCTGTCCTTCATGTTTTCAAAACAAGTGAACCCTTCGAAAGTTATTTTTACAAGGCACTTCGCTTCCTACATGCGCAATTAGTAAATGTGCAACGCTGAATTAAATCTCACGACAAAGTACAGTCTAGCAGAGCGCGTGCAAATTACATCGGAAATGCTAAAACAGTCCCGTGGAAATTCTAAACTAAACTTTTTATTTTACTAGCTAAGGCCCACTGAGCTATATTGCTCTTTTTCAGAAGCTATCTGGCCACAAATGATACCTCAACGAAGTAGCTTATCACGTGGAAATGTATAGCAGCCAAATACTCTAAGAACGCGTGTTTTTAAATGTGGAGAGAAAATCCGGAGGACTCGGGAGGAAAATCCACGCGACCACGGGGAGAACGCGCAAACTCCAAATATGCAGGCGTCAGGGTCGAGATTGAACCCACGACCCCCTGTATACCTTCGTCACTGATTTATTGATATGTTCATGCACTGGCATTCAAGTATTAAGAAAACTATTTCTGGTATGCACTTGAGATATCTGTGGTTCTGGGCTTGACTTGCCAGTACAGACAAAGCAACCATTGCTCACTGACAGAGGCGCTTAACCCTAGCGTGACATTTAAGTTGCATTGGGACTCAAAATAGATGCATACTTTGACAAGTATGAGCTCACAGTTGTTTAGACTATTCCAATGTAAAATTGGGGTGATCATAATTCCCTATGATTTATATGAATCAATATTCAGTATTACGTCTTGTCAGGATGGAGCAGTGGTTCCTGGTCACCTGAGTTCGATTCCTGGCCAGAGATACTTTCAGCGGACAGTGGCATCTGAAATGGTCCTGGAATGGGGAGGCCTTAATCCAACAGTGGATTGGCACTGGACTATACATTATTATAAAATATTATTGTTATACCTTCTCAACTGATGCAATAAAGATTAGATTTCAGGAAGAGTGTGTAACAATTAGCCATCCCTTCCTACTCCCACGATTAAATGCATTTTCATCATCAACAACCGTGACTCTAGCTCATGAGTCAATTCAATAATCGATTTCTATTGTTTTTTATTACGATGAATGTAGCAGCCTATAGCAGCTATAGAGAGGCGATGTGAACCCATTACATACAACATGTGTGAATCGAAAAATGTGAATTCTCATACATGTGATGTGAGGCACATGTTGTGACTTAAGAATGGATATTAATCAGCGAATGAATGCATCATCCTTATCTTTTAGTGAGTGTTCTTATACATACAAACCAAGACTAAGATCCCCTTGCCTGTATAGCCTTAACATACTTTTGGGGCAAGTACTGTTAGCGAGCATCTATGAAAGCTGGGATGGCAATTGAGGAGGTGGGTGGCCAGCACCATGCCCGGCTACCTTTGTCTCTCGAGTGGCGATGTATACACATTGCACCAGGTACTAATGTTTGGCTGAGTCGACCTAGGGGAGGCCCAGGACCAGTTCAGATAATCGTCACTGGTATTGGCCGTGAACGGGATTCGAACTCGGGTTGCCGGGTTCGTAGCCTACTAACCTCTGCGCCACCGCTCTCCACGTACAAAGACATATACATATGCATCTTTATATATTAAATTGGCTTCACTACATATAAAGTAATGCAATGGTAAAACACTCGTCTAAACCTCACCGACCCTGTTTCCCAATACTCACACGACTTCCCTTAATGCCACACATCATCCGGGCAAGGATTTCTAAGCCTTTATATTTTGCACGTACAGGCATGACAGTTACACAACGTGGTGGGATGGTGATAATGATGATGATGACAAGAGTTCATATTAACTCAAAGTAGTGTGAGGTTTGCAAGAAAAAAGGTTAATCCCAGAGCTGTGAATTCACTGTGGCCCAAAAGAGCTGTCCCTTTTATTGAACGACCTTCCCGTGTCCCTCTACTTGTTCTCCAGAGTGTGCCAATGGTGTACGGTGGGCAGGCCCCACAGCCAGACACGCATCTACCAGCGGTTATTCGCCAGTCACCAACACGCCCCAGGCTTCTAATTAAAGGTGCTTTAACTCAGCATTGAAAAATACATGAGCCAATCAGCGAGTGTAGTTGTTAATCTCTGCTCTGGCTCTCACAGCGAACGCCCCACGATTGATTTCTCACTGGGCACGGACGTGTAAAGTCCTTGGCATATAAAGTCATTTGCATGGCGCTACATTGAGGACAGGGCTGGCTCCAGGCAGACACTACTACCTTGTATTCTTAGGTTTTTTTGGTAAAGTCACGTAGGTAAAAAATTAAAAATTAATGAAAGTAAAATAAAAATCACGACGTTTCGGAGGCAATACAAGCTTCCGTCTTCAGGTGGAACATTATTAATTTTAATTTTTTACCTACGTGACTTTACTGAAAAAACCTAAGAATATGAATCCTTGCAGTCACGAAAGCTTAAAATCTAGAACTACTACCTTGCCCAGGTTTCCACCTTTTTCCGCAGACTAAACCCAGACATATTTATACTCTTTGGTTCTTTAGGTAAAGTCACGTAGTTAGAAATAAAAATAAAATAAACAAAGCCTAAGTCGAACAATACTGAGCAGTGCACTGCAATGTTTAACACGGTACAACAATTAGCATGGTTGGTTACGTACGGTACGAAAGAAGTTCAACATACATACATACACCGGATCGTGGAAGATATTCAATCATTTCCACCGGAACACAGATGCCAATTCCCGGACTATCCTGGTTAAAACCTGGACAGGTGGAAGCCCTAACCATGGTCCATTAAGGCAACGCCGCTCTCCCTACAGTACCGCGAACGCCGATATGCGAGGAATACATCTGCTTCCAATTACTGTGAGCCGCCTTATAAGTACACACGTGCTTCTGTGCGATAAGGCCACCAGTGCTAGATAAATTAAAACGATTAGCTAATACAACATATTTTTACTGAAATTGAGCTGGTTCTATGCGGGTTTTTTTTTTTACTGAATCCATATGCTTTGCTCAGTGTCACCTGCAGTTACCACTAATCCATTGATTGCAACAACAAAAAATATGATTGCGTTGCAGGAGTGGGAAGAGGAGGCAGTAGGCCATCTCTGTTAAGGTCATAATGTGTTTCAGTAAAGGTACATGTTGCACACTCGAGATGAAGGACGTGGGCAGGTGCTCCAAATCGAGGGCAAGCACATTTATTTATTGTGGTTCATATGAATCTTGGGAAGAACAGCACCGTCACTCTGTAAAATGCAACAGCGCGTGTTACACGCAGCCATCCTTCCGAGACGCCATTAACCACGTGGCTGGTTTACACGTGCGGTTATTCATTAACCCTGCCAGCCACCTACAGGCCCGACTCAGACATTACATGCTGCTGTACACACATGCATTGATGCATTGCACAGCACATCAGGACTTTCACAGAACCACACTTTACTCCCTTGCTGCACAAGGACACACTTAAAAGAGTGATCCATTCCTAATGTGCCACATACAGCCCTGCAACTGCTTGCGTACGCCACTACTAGTGGTAGGGCCTCCACTAGAGGGGGCTTTAGAGAGGCCCTTCTGGAGGGTATCTTTTGCCTTCTCTACCATGCTGACAAGTCTGTCCTGGAAGAGACGGGGGGTACCCACACTTTACCTCACCAAATGTAAATTTCCGACCAAAACTTGTCCATGATTTAAACGCCGCGCCGGGAGATGGAACCGGCAAACTCTGGTCGAGTGCGCTAACCATTGCACTACCAGCAGCATGCTATGCTCAGGAATAGCTGCATTATCGCAGGATTTAATTTTCACTGCATAAACACTCGTACAGATTGTGCATACGTTGAAACCTTAGGTAGAAAATCGTCACAACTGGCAATTACTTAAACATTGTTTTACTTTATACTTAAAAAGAGCAAGAGAGAGAAGTGGTCTGTATCCGTATGGTGTTGTGAGCGCTTCTTTTATATTGGGCTATCAGAGCGAACAGTTTGATTTCTTGCCCAAACTTTTTGAATCAAAATAAAGAAACCTTTTATAGCCAATCTCCTGGGCTGTAAAGCCAATGACACTGCCCGGAGTAACACATGCCATCCTCAATGAGTTTGAGAAGTGACAAGATCATTACAAATCATTATTTATATCAGACAACCCCCAAGATTTGTGACCATGGTAGTGAAAAAAACGGTCATCTGGCACGGCATACAATTATGAAGAATAATAAGATGTACAGACATGGTTCATACTCTTAGGTTTTTTCGGTAAAGTCACGTGATTTTACCGAAAAATCTAAGAATATGAATCCTTGCAGTCACGAAAGCTTCAAATCTAGAATTACAGACATGGTGATGCCATCAGAAGTGTATTTCCCGATTGAGCTAACAAGTTCTTATTCAAGGGCGACTCGGCTGGCAGACAACATCAAAACATTTAACAATTACAGAAAGAAAACTTAATAGCAATTGTTGTAAAATTACATTCAAACTTAAACTTTCGTGATTTTAAAAGAGTCAGTTTAATGTGGACAGAGATGGCAGAATGGAGATACCAAGAGACGAAACTAGGTGCTTCCAAACTCTTTGGGACAGCTACATTAAATGCTTTTTATCTAAATTGTGTGTGAAATCTGGGAACTATGGACAGACAATCAGATCCACGTTGCAGTTTAAAAAAAAATTAGAATGGTCCACAGAGAGCTTAACTCCTAACAGGAGGGTTTGCAAGAGCTCAAATCCAAGCCAGCGAGTGGCATATTCAATGCGCATCTTTCACAGCTGATCTCGTACACATTGTGTAAGTTAACACTGATTCTTGACTTAAAGCTTTCGTGACTGCAGGAATTCATATTCTTTGGGTCTTTGGGTAAAATCACGTAGATAGGTTAAAAGAAAATAACAAAATAATAAAAAACTACGACGTTTCGATCGCAACACAAGCGATCGTCATCAGGAGAAAAAAAACGTCGTAGTTTTTTTGTTATTTTCTTTGAACCTATCTACGTGACTTTACCGAAAAGACCCAGAGAAAATGAACACTGATTGTCTTTAGGATAGACTGGCCTCGACCATGGGATTGGGGAAATTTCCTACTGCTGGTTCAGAGCTACAAAAAATAGTCTTGGTCCAAATGTATGTATGTTGAACTTCTTTCGCGCGATACATGCTAATCAAAATGGGATCCCACACAAATGTTCACTTGAAAGGTGTGACATTTTGAAATTAATACAATGTGCATCTGTGAGCGTATTCTTATTGCAGCGCCGATCTCAGTGGCGCATCAACCACAACGTGTGTGGGGACTCGGAGCACATGGCCCCTCCAAATTAAAAGCTTCGCTTTTTGGATCCCAATATCATCGCATGTGGTCCACTTGCCCGCGGCAAAGGACAGCGTCTATCGCTAGCGCTCCTGCGTAGGAGTAAGTACAACTCTGTAATGGTACATGAACAGCCCATTTGGAATCCTCTGTTGGATGAGAACCTCCCCATGCCTTGCAGGCCATGAGGGATATATGACGACAAGACTCTACTTCACCACGCCGGTGAGTATGGGTTGGTGAAGGTTAGGAGGAGTGAAAAATCACAATCCATATTGCTGCGCTGCCCTATATATACTTGTTCGCTGGTCACGGTGGTCGCTGTTCATCCGAACACTATCTAGGCTCAATCCTGCTTAGCTTCCAAGATCTGACAAGATCATGCGCATTCTGGGTGATGTATAGTCATGCTACAGTAATGGTGAGTGTATGACAACGGATCTTATTCTAAAAAGAGCGTGAGAATATTGGAACAAGAGTGATGCCAATATGAAGCTACTGGCAGATGGAGAGCTCCTCTGTCTCTAAAGCTCAAGCACAAAGCATTCTCAGAGCATTTGATTGAGGCCAAAATCTCACGAGGGTACCCTCATGATGCCATCCCAGACACAAGACACAAGGCTACCATCCCTGGGGCTAACAGCAAAGAAAGCACAGCAGCAGCTTGTAGCATTTAACAGTGCCCATTTAATTTGGAACAGCCCAAGTCACCACAGTTAGTTAGAAAACACAAGTACAATTATTTTGACCACACTATACTCTACGCTTCCGTTTGGCATGGTTGGCTACGTACTGTGCAAACGAAGTTCAAAATACACGTACCTCATTTGTCTTTCAACATATCAAAACAATGGGCACGTACTTATTTACATTTGTTGTCCTTTACTAAACCAGTGAAATGCGCTAATTTAACCAAAAAGCAAACTCCTTTTGGGCCTCTAAAGTGATGTGTAAACTGTTTTCTTGTTCTATTGGTGCCAAATATTCAATGCACTGATTATGACAGACGCACATTCGTGTTTTCTCAGCTGTACAATAGTGAAAATAAAGAGTGCAATGCGGCGAGGAACGCTGAGAGCGGAGAGCCTTCATTCACCAAAGCAAAACGAGGCTATCAGTGCCGTTTGTCAGAGTGAGTGCGACATGTGTGTGTGTGTGTGCACGGCTGTACCTGTCGCCTTGTGGAGTCTCAGCGTTGACACTTGCACCGTTGTTCAACAGAAACTCCACCGTCTCTCTCGGATCATCTCTGTCGTAACAGAGAAAAGAAAAAAAGACAGCCTCTAGTGAACACCTTCTGCATGGTTCCTCTTGGGAGATTTCTTCTAGTCCGATGGACTTTTGGGCCTTTGGGGCATTACCATCAATGTTTCCTCGCAGTCATGTCTCCACTCCTCTGTCAATCACTGCTTCTTTCAGATGAGACAGCTTCATGTGGAATGCAATGTTTGATGTCCAGTCAGATCATGGTGTTCCTCTTCCACTGGCACCTTTGAGTGTTCCCAAGATTGTAATTTGTGTAAGTGAATAATGTGTCCAGAACAGGAACTGTAACAGATTCAATGAACTATGATCTCTGCAGTGGCAGTAACCAACAACAAAAAACAATCACACTCAGCATAGCTGTGACTGTTATGGTGCAACATGGGATCACGTGATGGGTTGGTTTGTTTCTGGGGTGTCGTCAGTAGTGGTGCATGGCTCTCGTTTAGGAAAGAGAAATATTACACTTTGAGATTCCCATAAAATCCATGCAGCTTCCAAGAGGAAATGATTGATGACCCAGTACTGATGCACAATGCATTGCCTCCACATTCAAATTAATAATTGTACTACGGGTGCAACGATGCACTCATTTATTGATTATTAACAATTTTTAAGTTAATGATACATTCATTGAAAAATGTGTGTAAAAAAATCTGTTTAAAATTAATTCTTTTTCATTCCTGACCACAGCTACCATCGGTGGTGAGTGATATGTGGGCGCCACGGTAGCAGATTGTTAACTACCTCGCCTGGTATTCAGGAGTTCGCGGATTCAATCCCGACCCTGATGCCTGTATATTTGGAGTTTGCATGTTATCCCCGTGGTCGCGTGGATTTTTCTCCAGGTCCTCTGGTTTTTCCATATCATTTTTAGCCAGGTCGCTTTTGAAAAATAGCTTTATAGCTCAGTGGACCTTATCTAGTAAAATAAAAAAAAAATAGTTTAGTTTATATCTGAACTCCCCCTCGGCCTCCCCTTTACCAACCCACACTGACTAGCGTGGTGAAGTGGATACATTCCCCTCGACCAACACGACATGGGAAGGCCTTCGTCCAGGAGCGGATTAACAAAGCTTCATATACTGCATTACATGTGTTGTATGTAGATTGATTGAGATGGCTCATGTAGCCACTAGAGGCCACTACAGTCACCTCAATGTAAACACGTAAATATAGTTTGAATAAAGTCATCACCCTGAATTGCAATAAATCATCCAATCGCCGGGGAGGGAGTGGTGAATCACTAAACATGTCACCATCAACACACGTCACCTCTTAATAAAATGTTAACTAATAACCTGTTAAGAAAAGTAAGTGGGTTTGGGCCTTCATCTAGCAATGTATTGATCATGGTTCATGATGATAATGATGATGACGTGTCACCTGCAATTGGACGACCAGTAACAGGGTTTGTGGACTCTCCACACTGGAGTCATGAGCCACTGCTGCTTGCAGAGAAATAATAAAAATACTCAAATGAAATTGAACCAATATGTGACCGTAATTATATAGGGTTTCATAAGTTAAACACACACACAGCGGAGAGTACCAAAGGAGCAAATTAAGTGAAACCAAAGGAAGCAAATTGCACGGGACATATTTTTGCAGTCTGTAACAAAACAGAAACTTTAAAAGGTTTGGGACGCTCATTATAGGTAAACTGGAAGATGGCCAAATTGTTTTTTTACAAACGCAAAAAACAGAATGAGATCCAGGTGGCATTTAACACGGGATATACAATGCTTGGATGTAAGCGCTTCACAACGTCCTGACATTTCTTTGCACCATTCCACATTTACACAGTTTCAACATTTATATTAAAACGCTGTCTACACACTGTAGTGGCTGTAAAGATGATCCGAAGGTTTTGATAACAACATATTAAAAAGTGGCACATGGTAAAAGAGGAAACCTTGAACCCACCTCCCTTGTCTGATGCACATATATATACAGAGAGGAAGATCACGATAGGTTATTCCACCATACTTCACCACACCAAGTCAGTGTCGGTTGCCAATGTAGGGGAAACATAGACAACACCCACGGCTCTCTGCTGACAATGTAGAGCCTATGACACCTGATTAACGTGGGATGATGGCCCAGACAAGCACAATCCAGGCTCAATCCCTTGGCCTCCAATGGGCGTGTTTTTAATGATGAGGATGAGAATTAGCTCGGCAAATTCGATTAACATGTATGAGTGTAAGTTGATTGAATATACATTTTCCAATATAGAATTGTATTTATAGTTTGCTCCTGATTATAAAACGGTCTGAAATTGTATAGAATCCATCCAGTGTGGCTTAATTTGAATTAAAACATATTCACTGTTCTCTAAATTTGTGTTTGAAAAGAATATAAATAGGATGTATTGATTTTTCCTGTCCGCAAGTATAATTGTTTTATGGAAGGACATACAATTTTGTATTCTCACGATACATATTTTTAAACCTCTTTTATCGGAATAAATAGCACTTATGTATTTAATATTTTAATAAAAACAAGTCAAATGGAAACTCAATAATTAATGGTAATGGCCAAATATATCAGTGCAGGACACTCCCTAAACAGAGCCTTGAGACGTGGTGAGGCTTTCTGTGTAAACAATTGGCAATAGCACAGGACTGTTGGGGCAAGTGCTGTTAGCGAGCACCTATGAAGGCCTGCACACGAGGGGGTGGGTGGTCGGCACCACGCTCGACCGTTTCTGTCTCCCCAGTGGCGATGTTTACACACCGCACCAGGAACTCATTTGAGGCTGGGTCCACCTAGGGGAGGCCCAGGACCGGTTCAAATAATCGTCACTGGTGTTGGCCGTGAGCGGGAATTGAACTCGGGTGTTGTAGTGGTTATTGCGCAGCGCGCTAACCACGTATTGAGCTAACCGCTACATTACCGCTCACTTATACAGTACATGCATACACACGCACTGCATATAATTTTTCAACATCCTCTGCATAAACATTCACGGATATTTGTTTAGCTTTTTATCTGCATACAAAATAATACACTTGCAATATATTGGGAAGCTATTGCCTAGCTATTAAAATGTCTAAATTAATTACATCCATATATTTTTCTTGTCACTTAAAACCCTGCAGAAGTTTTGTACACAATTAATATTTTGAATAAAATCTGCAGTTGCAGTTGCATACTTAATTACTGTCAGACAATTAAGGTTCTCTTTAAGGGCAGTGCCCTTTGGTTAATGCCCCAGATGCTCAGTTATTGTGTTGTTGGCATAGTGCTACTGTTGTGCAATTTATTTGAGCGACAACACAGATTTCTAAGACATTATTTATTCATTCAACCGTTCATTAAATTATTTACTCCGTGCCCCATGGAAAGAGCCACACAGGAAGGGAGCACATTGGAAGAAAACAAAAATCTAAATGTTACTTATTGCTCAAGTTAAATGCCGTGAAACTTCCCTTATCCATACACCGAATATTCCAGGCTGCCTTTTATCTGTTGCGCCAGATTCGATCTGTGCAATATCCCGATTATCCACGTGACAATTCTTCCTATAATATAATCGGATGCGCCGCAGAGATAAAAGGGAGCGGCCTGGCAGTGCCTCAAAATTAATCATATTGTGAGGCTTCTGCATGGAAGAGAGGATCTACTCAGAAGGCTCTAACTCATGATTTTATCCAAGCTTGTGGGTGAATACGAGACGTGAGCCAGAAGTGACAGCAAAGTGATCGTATTGTCCCTTTTTGTCCGTGCTGTACCACTCGAGTACGAGAGGAGCCGTTTGTGCAGATACACGTGGTTGACATAATCTGTCCTAGTTCTCAGGTTGCCACCTCTGAGGCACAACAAAAAACTGGGACATATCATGAGAAGATGATCTCACAATACTAGTTGAGGGGGAGAACTTTATGTCAATACAATGTCTTGATTTGTGTATTGCCGTATTATTATTACTGTACTCAACTGACAAAAGTTGGGACTTGTAATGTTCCGGGAAGACTTCAAGATTTCCCAGAACAGCAGCGACCAAAAATGAAGGGTCGATCCTGAAAATACCAGGATAGGTGCCAACCCTACCCTGAGTACCCCCATCCCTATCCCCAACAGCTAATTATATAACAGGCCTCCCCTACTGCATCACTCCAATTGTGCTGTATATGATAACACGTTGACATCAATGGTTGATAAAATATAAATAATAACAACAATGAGTAAACGATATTTTGTGAACATCATAAGACAAGATACTGTAAAAAAAAAACACCGTACATTCGCCCAGGCACTTTAAACTTCTTGTATGGATAGTCATACCATAGCCCTGGCGACTACAGGACAAATATTAGTTTTTTTCCCACCGAAGCAGATTTTCTGCACTGGTGCAGAAAACAACAACACACTTCTGCAGTTGATTTGTGAATTTTGTCTCACGGTAATGCATATTGTCTTGTTAAAGTGCATTCGATTTCAACAGAAGTGCAGCGGAACAGCAGAAGCTTTTTCCACAGAGCAGCGTATTTGTTTGAAGAGAAGCTACGGCCCACAGAATACTAAAAACAAAGCGGTATTGTGTGGGAGTAGAAAAGCACAAACTTACACCGCTGTGTAGGTTTTTAGCAGTTGTGTCGTACAGCTCTCCGATTGTTTTCGGGTTGCGCCGCATGTGGTTCGGCACGACGTCCGACGTTTCGGTCCATGTGCTGGGGAGCTTATTCAGGAGCAGAAGCTCTCAGCACTAGGAGTGATAACATCGGAACGTCGTGCCGAACGACTCGCGGTACAACCCGAACGGAGATCGGTGAGCGACGCAATCTGACTTCTAAACAGGCAGTAGTGGGTGGGTGGTTAGTCAGTTCTCAATTGAACCTGAGGCGGCCCAACAACACACATCACCCAAGTCACTGTGGGCAGCGGCACGCTGCTCCCACTGTGGGTTAACTCGGCATCCCCGCAGGGTGCCATGTTCTGAAGTGGACTTGAGTGGTGAGGCATGGGGTCAAGTTTTTCAAGAGGAAGCCGGTCACCTCTATATTTTATCAATCATTCATGTCAGGTGTGATTAATTGATCTCTGGGTTTCATATAAGTTGTTTCCAAGTGGGTTTGCTTTTCTGTCAATCAATTAAAGGCCTTCATTTCACGAAATAAGATCTTTGACATTCATTATCTCTTGTGAAACAAAGACAGTTAAGTTGGGCTGGTATTTATTTTTTATAATCAAGTTGAGGAAATATTTCAAATTTGCTAATTATAAGGTGATGGGGTATCTGACATGAAAATTGCCAAAAAAAACATCAGGTGGCTGTACACATCAAATCATCAGCTCTGTGCCATTTCGGCTGTGACAGCACTGATCACGGGGGTATAGCCGGCGCAGAGTTAGCTGGTTAGAGACGGTACCATCATGCGGCAGACAGCACCGTCGCTCCATTCTTAGACTCGCAATTTAGTGACGAGGGCCTCGTGAGCAACTTACAGCTCAATCTCCTTGTGCAGGATGCCCAGGAGCAGCTTGTCTGCCTCGCTCTCCTTGAACGGGAAGCCTTGTGAGAAGAGCCTGTGGACACACAACATTAGGATGGACATTGCAGAAAAGGTAGATGGCAAAAGTGTAGCCCTGAAATGTCATTCTCGTGCCACTGTTGGTGGATGGACCACCTCTAGAAGTTCCTTCTAGAGAGTTCCTTTAGAGGGCGTACTACATACTCTTTCAAGGTGGTCAGACGTTTTGAAAGAGGTGGGAATACCCACACTTTACCCCGCCACACGTGACCTGCCAACCGACTGTAGTGTTCCCATTTTTCCTGCTTGGTGAAGAGAGGCGGTGGGATTTGTTTTAACTGCCGTGCTGGGAGAGTGACCTGGTGACCTCTGGATTGAAGTACAGTGTGCAAACCATTACACCACACGACAGCATCCCAGACGTAGCATGCCCGAGCCCAACATTTTTTGCAACAGCTATGTGTGCCTAGTTAATGGAATGTTCTTCGCTGGGACTTCCATTAAGATGTATAAACAAACAGGGCTGTTTGTTTTATTTCATAAAGCAAATGTTTGCAACGTCAGAATAAACGTTGGGATTAAAGTAAAACGAATTCATTATTTAATATCTTCCTTAGAACTCTGCAATACTTATAAAACAATTACTAATTTAATTGTTAGCCAAATGTTCCTAATTACACCGAATGTACTCTTCATTATTTTCATGTAATTGGAAGTTAATGCACTAAAATTATAATCAACTATGCAATGGTGATCATTATATTATGGTTATCATTAATGCCCACATTTTTTAAATATTTATCAGCCATGATCAATCCACTGCTGGATGCAGACTTCAACAAGCCATCACCATCTCTAAGGGTCCTGCGGTATAACAATTCATCTAACACCTGCACACGAGCTGATTTCATCGCTCAATCTCTGCGGTGAAAAATCTCCCGGGCATGTAATTCGCCATTGGTATTTTTGATAATTACCTACTATAATCACTCAGAAATGTCTGTCCATCCTGCGCGTGACGTCAGTCCACATGAGGCCCACCCCTAACCATTAGCGGGTAATAATTATGAGCTGAACAATTTTTCTATTGAATATTTCAGATTTACTGCAATATACACCCGTCCTTGGATGGGCAAAAAAAAACTAGTTCACTAAAAAATAGCACCAACCAACACAAGACAGTAATGTTATGATAAGAGTGTTTGACTCAAATTATATTGATTGCTGGTTCACATCCTGGCTAGCGGTTGACTCAGCCGATCATCTCTCTGTGGTTAATAAAATAATAGTACCACGTCTCAAAGATTAACAATGGTCATCCTTTACAAGTTGGACTGGCCTCCGTCATAATAACGTTGAATTTCCACCTCTGGCTCAATACAACCAAGTGAGGTGAACACCGCCAAGTTCTTGCGCGAGTATGACGACACTATGACTATGGCTTTATGAGAAAAATATTCTGACACGGCCAAGGCCAAACCGGAAGCATGACATTTTTTAAAGAAGGGCATTCAGAAATTGAGGGAGGGCAAGAAACAGCCAATGTTGAACAGACTTTAAACACAATTAAATGCTGAACAGAATAATGAATGACACGGTCTGCTTTTGGTTATCATGCATTTTGCTCCAGCTCTCACCCTCTATGCAAGAGCGGAAAGGTTGTCCCAACAAATTTGGACTCAACTCTAAAAAGTCAGAAGGGGGGGGGGGAGCAGTGTTCGGCAGGGGGGGGGGGGGGAGCTCAACCTCCCGGATGGTAAGGGGCTGGTCAGCGCCCAGCACCACCACCACGTAGCGTTGCCCCCCACTAAGTTACCAACGAGCGCACGTTGCCCCCACCCTCCCAAGTTACCAGCGAGCACAAGTCAAGAATCCGCACGCCGTGGCCAGGTAGGCCGGGCTGGGTGACGCAGACGAGGCCCCCTCTCGGACGAGGTTCTCGCGAGCCCCCGGCCACGCGGCCAGCAGCAGCGCCAGCATGTCGCACCGGCCCTGCATGGCGGCACAATGCCAGGGGAGCAGGCCACGGTTGTTGGGCTGCAGCAGCGATGCTCCACTCTCCAGCTGCTCTGACCAGGCAGGAAAACACGGGGCACGATGTTGTTCGTGTAAAGTAGACGAAACCGCTCAGCAAGTCACCGCACGTGCATGTAATGCGTCACAAGAGACTTGTTGGGGGTCATCTTCTTGGTTCTTTCGGTAAAGTCATGTAGAAGGGAAATAATAAAATAATAAAATAAAACATTAAATAATTCTCACGACGTTTCGGCCACAACGCAAGCAGCCGTCCTCAGGTGAAGAATGAAATACCACCAAGCTTGGAGCGTATATTTAAGCTGGGTTGGAGGGGGAAGAAGAGCGCCTTGACAAAATAATTTGCATATCAAGAGAAATTTAGAATATTTATGGGAAATGCGTAGGAGGTGGGCGGGGGGGGGGGTTTCAAAGTCATATTATGCCCGTGCATTATGCAGGATTAGCAGCATCAAAGGGAGGGGATGGGGGTAGCATTAACAAACAGCGTGAGAATTATTTTATTATGTTTTATTTTTATTATTTTATTATTTCCCTTCTACGTGACTTTACCGAAAGAACCAAGAAGATGAATCCCTGCAGTCACGAAAGCTTTAAATCGAAATTGTTGGGGGTCACCAAAACATTGCAAATTGGATAAATGTGTCATTACATTAAATGCTTTTTATCACACTTAGTGGTTTCAATTCGAATACAAAGCCCCCTCCTCCTAGGATGTGAGCTAAAATCATTCAGCATCTACATATCATTGAGCATCTAGATATACATGGTTCATACCCCAAACACTTTGGGTAGTTTTCATCGTTAAAGTAAATGTTACATTCGTCTACCAGGAAATGTGTTATTTTTAAAATCTCACCTCCCTCCCCAATCAATTCCAAAAGTCAGAGCTCAAACTACCGCCTCCGAGATTCCACTGCCATGCAATGCCCCAAAGTCAACTGCTACTACTTTATTTTACCAGCTAAACCCCACTGAGCTATTAGCTCTTTTTCAGAGGCGATCTGGCCACACATGATTGCCCATCGCGGTGGCTTGATTATCAAACGTGGAAAGTTATAGGAGCCCAAATATTCCCAAAGCGTGTTTTTAAAATTTGGAGGGAAAAACCAGAACACGAAGAAAAATCCACGCAACCTCAGGGGAAAACATGTGAATTGCAAATATACAGGTGTTAAAGGTCAAGATCGAACCCACAACCTCCTTTATAACCAGGCCAGGGAAGCAACATATCACCACCGCAGCGCTCCACGTGAGAACTCAGAAGATCAGGGGATAGGCCTCATTTACAAGACCGACCTGGGTCACCAAAATGCCAAAAGCAAAACAAATAATGTGAAGTGGCGCAATGAAGCGAACAGAAATCGGATCGTTTCCTATGAACACAGAACCCTACAGAGAAGATTAAGTGCGTGACTCTCCACGGGTTTGTGAACACCAACAATGTTTGCGAGTTTCAGACTTCGCAAGCCTTGCACGTTTTTGCAAGTGTTTCATTAGCGCACAAGCGTATAATTAAATTGATCGGCCCCGATCGACCTCTCGATCGTGCCCATGGTCCGAAGGCGATCAACTCACCGCTTAAGGACACCTGCACAAAATTGTGTGCCCGTCAACGCGAGTCTATTTCACACGGGTAGGCTGCACGGGCTTGGAACATTTTACAGCACTCCCAACTCGTACACGAGCCCTTATAATTATATTCGTGTTTCGACATAAGACAAAAAGAGCACAAAATTGGAGACACGCAATAATGCACATAATTAGGAATCCATCCACCTACACATTCAATTGTGCATTAGCATTTAAATGAGCTGTAAGAATCTCAATTGAGATAGACCATAGCAGAAAGTGAAACCAGCGCACTGCGGTGCCAGATCTGGGTAACACCTTAAAGAAATGAAGCCGTGTTGACAGATGTAGCATTGATTAGCAATATATATTTTTTAGCTCTGTATCAATCCACTATTGGATGAAGATTTTCCCATTCCTTGTTAGTTGTGGGGGTTGTTTGACGATACTTTACAACGCACTTTAGTGAGATGGTCCCAGGTTAAGATACCACTCGCCACTCATGTTAATATATCACTCACCACTCACGTTAAGATACCACTCGCCACTCACGTGAGCCGTGGCTGCGAATAGCATTCAGATAAACGAGTTTATCGCGCAGTATGCTAACCGCTTCGTCACCACTCCACCCCAGTATTAATTATGACAGGTAAAAAAAACGAATGATACACAATGTAATTTATTCAAATAACAAATACTGTTTAACCTAAAGAGAACTGGAATAACATACCCAAAATCTATTCATCTGTTACAATTCAAGTTTATATTGTCTTGAGTCTTCAGTTTTCCTACCATAATAATTCTGCTTTATAATAATAATCATAATGATAATAGGAAATGCTGTTGGGGAAAAATATCAATATTAGTTTTTAAAGTTGTGAACAGAAATAAATAAGTTAACAAATAACTACATGACCATTCACCACCACTATATATTTCTACTAATTACGCTTTCGTTAATTGTAGCTGATTTAGCCAATATTTAACGCTGAAATACACAGTCGACCACACATTAAGAAATCATTATTAAAGTGTGAGAAACTTACTTCACTTTATTCTCACTTCTCATTCAATTTGTTTTAATTAAAGACGCTACGTGCTAGTGCATGCATTACTTATTTTAGACCATAATTAAATCTTCATTTGCCAGTGGCTTTCCAAATCAACAGAGTGTCTTTGTATTTAGTCAGTATTTCATCAATTAAGTTGGTTTGCTATCACACTCTTAACCATGGCTATAAGCGCACAGCGCTCCATCCGACCGTGCACTGATTATGCCTGCACACACTCCCGATAAGGCTGGCACTTAACCGTTCCGAATATTATACCTAGATTATCTCCTTGTCAAATTGCAGAACACCTGTGTTGGTGACGCGGCCCAGCGGCAGTCCATTGGCCACTTGTTGCACACGATCACGGTTCGAATCCAAAGGCCGCCCTGGTTATAATTGTGGCTTTATTATCTGTTAAGAGAAATTCGTGCCGTCTGCTTCAGAGTATGAGTTAAAGATCCCATGGCATCATTCGCAAGAGTAGGTCATTGTGTGATGGTCCAAATGTGTTCATTCTAGATTTGAAGCTTTCGTGACTGCAAGGATTCATACTCTTAGGTTTTTTCGGTAAAGTCACGTAGGTAAAAAATTTGAATTAAATTTAAATTAATAAAAGTAAAATAAAACAAATAAAAAAAATGTGCCAAATGTTGTAACGTACCCACAAATTTCTTCATTGGAATATACATTGTAAGCTTCGCCGCCAACTGCAAAAAAATACTTGGCGAGAGCATCCTAAATAATCATGAGACTAACTGAGGTTCTCCTGCATAAAGAAGCGAAATAAAATAAAATACCAAAAAGCCTAACATCACGAAGGAATAAATGTCACGGTAATAAAAGTTGGTAAAGCAGCACGAAGGCAACGGCTGGAAAGTGTGTCAGAATTTTGTGGCGTAAAAACGCAAGACCACATTTTTCAGTACTGCACTGCAAACCACACATTTCCTATGCATTATTTAAAGTATAAATTGCTATCATAAAAATAACACTGTGTAACAAAACTATTTTTTTTGTTCCTGGATAGTAAGTGTTATTTCCTAATTGATTATGCCTCAAAAGTACAGAAAATGGTTATTATTCCCCACAAACTTTGCTTTTGTGACCAGGACAGTGATATTTTGAAATTTACCTATTTTCAAAGAGAAAACGTGGTGTGCATTTGTGTCTTTCGTTGACACAAAGTCCTGGTCACAAAATAAAAGTTTGTGGGGAATAATAGCAATTTTCTATACTTTTTAGGCATAAGCAATTAAAAAAATAAAACACTTAGTACCCAGGAACTAAAAATTACGTTACATATTGTAATCTGTGTTGCTCAAATGTTGGGGGGGGGGGGGGGGGAACAAAAAAACAATAGGTGTAACATTCTGTTACCTCCTTTAAGTAATTAATGTTTTTATCATTGCTGTTATAATTACCATTTGTTTGTTAAAAATAACCAGGGCTGCAATTTTTTGTTGGGCTTTCACAATCAGAAAAAACATTTCGATCAAAAATAGTTAATTTCGTTTGAACCATAGAAGAATAAAAAAAAACATCTTGAAGCCAACAAACCTCCAGGGCTCAGCAATGCAGTTTGGCAATGCTCATTTAGCAAACGTTCAGCAAAATTAGATGCGCTGCTGCTTAAGCATAGCAAATTCATTGTGACACCCGACCGTCCGTGCAAAACACTTCATTAAATCCATCGGCGGCCACAGACACAGCGTTTACAGATACTCGTAATCCCACATGGACAGTTTGGGCCGCACCTGCATCATGGCTACGTGGAATTACATTTTGGGTATGAATCCTGGCAGCTTCAACTCTATGCCCAAGAGGCAGCGTAAATGAAAATGTGGGTCAGTCCAACTGACAATATATTAACAGTCCAATGTATTTAACAAAGAAAATCCATTCTAGAGGGTTTGCTTGGGTTAGATCGCATAAATATAAATGTGCCATTAAACCTGCCACCACCTGGACAAAAGTAAGGGTTGTCACGCGAACAAAACATGCCAATTCGTCACTAGTTCAGCACACCGGTTGTGTTGGAGAGTAAAAAAAAATCCCTCTATTATGTAAAATATTGTTCGCGAAAGCCTACGTGTTAAAAATAAAAAAAAATCACTGCTCAGATATATAATTAGGGGGGGGGGGGTGGAGGCGGAGGTGGAAATTTTAGTTTCATTGTTGGAGCGTAATAATTCCATGGATACTTCCCTTAAAGCCCCGACCTTGCTTAGTACTTAAGGAACGGTCTGGGATCTAATGAATGTATGATGGTATTTTTAGGTAAAGCGTTTCTTAGGCGAAAAGACGCAAGCTGTGAATACCGATGCAGCAACTCATCCGTTTGATTTGCTGCATACAAATTAACACAGTGTGAATTATTAAAAGTGTTTATATTGTCCCAGCTAATAC